CGATAAAACTAATCAATACCAACCGGAAGGATGAAGGTCAACAAGACGCAACTCCTGCCACTGTAACTTTCTGCTAGCCTCGGAGATTTCATGAATGCTGATTTCAGTATATCACGGGTACCGTGTCTGGAGTTATCCACATAAACTAACACGTTATTTTTTGTGCATTTTTATTTTCTTGTCTTCGAAAGTTTTGCGACGCAGAATTAGCCAATGAAGCAGGAAGATTTCCTTAGAAACAAAGAAAAGAGCGCTAAACTACTGCGTACCATCAATCCTCGCATAGAGCAGTGAATCCTTGACAATTTCCTCACAGAAGAAGAGGAGATTTGAAGCCAGAGAGATATGGTTCTACAAACAGACATTTGAAGGGAAATTGTAATGCTAATATTCGACCTTTCCTTTTATGGAAATATTCAGTATTCATTAACCGAGCAGCCAGTGCTACTCGAGTTACCGCGTCCAGGGTAAAACGATAAACTACGTCCAGCAGCAAGGCCTCTGATCAGGAGGTTTTGAGGAGCGTGGAACCATCTCTTAATTGCTGGTGTTTCCAGGTTCACCCTGACCCGGGGTGGTAGCACCTGTTAGGGTCCCAGCTATCGGCAAATAGTTAACTCCGAAACTGATATAAAAAGCATTATAAAAGTGTAAAAATAGGTTTTAATACCAGAAATACTTTGTAAAAATTATTACCAGAAATAAATTTTGAAAAAAAAAAAAACTATTACCAGCAATATATTTTTTTAAATAATATTACCAGCTATACATTTTTGAGGAAAAAATATTACCAGAAATAGATAGACAATAAAAAATATTACCAGGAAAAATGTTGTCTGCATTAAATAACCCATAGAGGTTGATATGCCGTAAATCAAAATAAACCAAACGAATCTAAACCAAAGAATACATATTCTATTCATACAAATCTATCCTAAAAATGTTGTCGGCATTAAATAACCCATTGAGGTTGATATGCCGTTAAACAAAATAAACCAAACTAATCTAAACCAAAGAATACATATTCTATTCATACGAATCTATCCTAAAAAATTTTGTTGGCATTAAATAACCCATTGAGGTTGATATGCCGTAAAAAAAAAATAAACCAAACCAAAAAAACTACTCGAGTTACGCTTTTCTTCATTCCCTGGCCATCGGGGTAGGATCAACATGCAATATCTGCCTTCAGACAGGAACTCTACATTTTTCTCCTCAATTGTATTTCTGTCTTTGGACAGAACATGACAAATAAATGAGGGATACCTAGTCACGGGGATTCCAACCCTGCGGCAGCACCTCCCTCATTACAGCAAAGATCGGTGGAATATGGACGCGAGCGTGACGTTGGTTGTGGAGACTGGGTAACTTGGGGTCTTAGCTCATGTTCACGTGCTTGGGCTCCATACTTTAAACCGTCCTTAACCATATTAAATCATCGTTAGGGAACCATGAGTATCAAGTGCAGTATCTGTTCTCCTCATCTCTAATGATAATGGTAATATAAGCCTTTTCCTTATAAAGAAACATTCAGCATTCATTGACCAATCAGCCAGTCTTACTCAAGTAAGGCTTTTCTTCACTTCTTGACCATTCGGCTGGGATCAAAGTGTAGTATCTGTTCTCCTCATCTCTGTTTTGGTAATATTCAACCTTTCTTTATATGGAAACTTTCGGCATTCATTGACCGAGCAGCCAGCGTTATTGGTGTTAGACTTTCTTCTTGAAACCCCAGCCATCGGTCTGCGATCAAAGTGTAGTATAAGCCCTCCTAATCTTTAATGCTAATGGTAAAATAGCCGTTTCTTAATGTAGAAACATTTGGCATTCATTGACCAAGTAGTTAGTGTTACTTTTGGTTGAAATTTTTAAAATCTCTTAAAACAGCTTTTCAGTAAAATAAGTTTCTCAACACCATCAGCCGTTATTGATATTTATAGTATAGTCGGAACTTTCCTTACTAACCTTTTGTTTGAAGTGTTGCGGAAAGTCAACATTTTAATTATGTCATTATTTTCTCGTCCAGGTAAATGTGCTATCAATTTTAGTTGTTGATGCTGTTGAAAGTTCTAAAGTAATGTCATCACCACGATCCCGTGACCCATTAGGGTCGTAGGGGCAACACGTGCTGCAGCCACAGTTGTGTTTCCTCGGCAAGACAGAGCCCAACCCTCTCCAGGTTGGTTTAGAATTCAGAGATTTTCCTTCCCCTAAACCTGTTGCTACCCAAGGACCTGCTTTTTACTGCTGGTGAGAAGAGGAGATGGATTCATACCTTTCTCAATGGTATAAGTACATAAGTGAATGTAATGAATTCGACTGTAATTCGAACTCGGCTCTCGGATTTATCAATCCCGACCGTTTACTTCAACGTGGTTTCCCACAGCATGTTTTTTCCCTTATTTGGTCAAATGAAAAGGACACTTGTACTTAAAATCAGAGAGAGACAATTGGGATTTCTGAGACACATAATGAGCAAAGAGGACTTGGAGAATTTGACACCCACAGGAATCACTGAACACGAGGGAAGCAACGAGTAACATACATAACGAGATTGTGTAAATGGATGGCAGAATTGGGATTTCAGTAGGATTGAAAGGCAATAAACATTGCTTAGAGCTACAAAGGACAGGAAGTTGAGGAGTGTCATGATCGCCCACGTCCTGAAGGGACATAGTATATCGAAGAACTGCAGCGAAAACAGTTATTCAAGTCTGAGTTCACTTCGAATTATAATATCATTCGATTTATGTATTATTTCCATTATTCGGACTGTTATCCTCATCTTCATTGTCATTTTCACAACGTTTCGGCCGTTGTACGCATCGGCATTCTTCAGGTGAGTGTAATTTTTCTTCAATATTTGTCTTTATCTCTGAGATGAAGTATTATGATTACTTGCATTATTTCCATTATTCGGACTCTTATCCTCATCTTCAATGCCATATTCGCAACATTTCGGCCGTTGTACGCTCCGACCTTCTTCAGGTGATTGGAATTATTCTTCAGTATCTTTCTATATCTCTGCGATGAAGTATTATTTATTACTTGCATTATTTCCATTATTCAGACTGTTATCGTTCAGTATGTAGATTCGGTCATCCACTCTTAACCAGCCTGCACATTGTTATACGAGATGTAAAGACATTGTTAAATGGTTACAATTGCAATGAACGGAAAATCAGGAAAAACACTGGGAGAAAGATGAATTCTTAAACAAATAAGTTAAAAATAAACCTCTACTTTTCTCGAATGATTACATATACTGACCTTAGGGCAGGTTGATTTTTTCCCTTTTTTTTAGAAAATCATTATTGTACTCGGTGTGAAAACTGGGGTTTGATATGATAAATACTAACACCAAATTGATTCACAACTTTTACCAATTTTTGAGCATTAATTTTAAAGATCGTCTGAAAAAATATAGAGAAATGCCTAATTTCCGCAGGTTTTTGCTTAAAAACTGACAAAATTTTACTATTTCAAAAATAAATCCAAATAAAGTTGATATATTTTATATCAGATGCATTGTTTGGAAAATATATTCAAACTAGAATTCGAATTATGGATCACAACAAGAAAAATATGCATTTTTTTTTTTTTTTTTACTTTATTCGGAAGTCCAGGTCAACATGAATGGGATTTAATAAACTCTTCAACCTAATATATATATATAATAATAATAATAATAATAATAATCGACTCTCCCATCGAGATTCGACGTATGAGGGTCAAGCAGATCAGTTTCCAGGAAACCGACACCGGCACATGAGATTTGATTATAGTGATGACGGCCTCGTGCAGGACCATTCACACTTTTTGAAGGGACGAATACAGAGACCTGGTGCACCGAATGCCACAAGGTTCCCAAACGACCCTCCGCAGGTTTTGAATTCAGAATTGTCCTTCTCCTAGACCAGTTGCCATCCAAGGCTATAGAACCCAGTCTATATATATATATATAATTATAAGTTATTTATATAGACAGAAGTATATATATATATTGTTATATGTTATTTATATAGACACAAATATTTAAGTAAATGCACACTTTATAATAAAAAAAACGACATTAGCATTTACCGACCTGAACGTCCGAGAAATTTTTGTAAAATAAATGCGTCATCCGACAGGAATCAAACCGGTATCCTACACTCAACCGGAATATAATCCTGATGTACTATAGCAATTTAGCTACGAAGAAGCGTTTGGTCGCGCGATCGATTTTACTGCCTTTAAAGTACAGTTTTCCATGATTTACCTCGAACGTCGATATCTGCTTGAAGCGTATCCAAACGTAAAGAAATGACGTCATCGACTACGAAATGGACAAAAAAGTCCGAAAATTATTTTGATATATTTTATTTTTATACTTTATTTATATAGACACAAATATTTAAGTAAATGCTCTGTTTATAATAAATTTTCTATGAAAATTTCTCGGTAAATGTTGTTAATACTGTTTTTATGTTTATACGTTCTTTTTTGTAGATACAAATATTTAAGTAAATGCTCTGTTTATAATAAATAATTATAATAATCTTCATAGAAAATATGCGTCCTCTGACGGGAATCGAACCTGTATCCTATACGGAACAGACATATAGCCTGACATATAGGAGGAGGCATATTTTCTATGACAATTTCTCGGATATTCAGGCCGGTCGATGTTGTTTAATACTGTTTATTATAAAACAGAGCATTTACTTAAATATTTGCATCTATAAAAAAGAACGTATAAATATAAAAATGCCCTAAAAATAAATGTCGGACTTTTGTCCATTTCATAATATATATATATATATATATATATATATATATATATATATATATATATATATATGTGTATATATATATATATATATATATATATATATATATGATAATGTCCCGGTTAGCGGAATAGTTCTCATAATGGGAATTCGTATCAGCGGAAGTTGTGGACAGCCATGATCATTTACGGGTTGAAGAGAAAAGAGCATATAGAATACTTGAAGTACCTGTAAAGATAATGCTGTTTCAACCAGTTGGTAATAAACTGGTGTTCTGTCAATGTCTCCACAGTTACCAGGCTGGCTCCATTTACCTGAAAACAGATTATAACGAAATAATTGTAGATAATTTGTAATATAGCAACATTTCTGCACTGCTAACTAATGTTCATAAATCTGGGAAAACTATTAGAATAATCCAGAACTTATGCTTGTGTTCAACCGCCTGAATGCAGTTAGAAAATGAATTCAATAAATATGAAAATATAGTAAGACAAGGTTGTATCGTCTCGTCGGATATATTCAACGTATACAGTGTGGGGATTTTGAGGGAATTAAAATTTCTACCATGATTCATTATTGGCGCCCATCACCTTAAAAATATTAGTTATGCAGATGACAGAGAGTTGACAGGTGATACGGAAAGGAAAAATACAGGAACACCTACCAAAGCTGGTCAAAGAAAGAGAGAAGAAAGGACTAAACATCAATTGAAACACGACAGAATGAATACTTTTCAGCAAAGAGAGAAAAAAGTCCCCATGTAATTTACAAATTGAAGATACCAAAATCAAGCAAATAAAAAAAAAATATTGAAATATCTAAGAAGTGATTTAATAGAAGACAGAAAAATACCAACGCCAAAATCCGAAAATTCAGACGGGGCTTGACACTGACATCAGTGATCAAATGAGAAACGGTGTTTTCTGTGTAATTTGACTGTTGGCAAGTTTTTTTTTTTTACTTTTTGGCTTTTGAAAATTATATCCGACTTATTTGCTTCAATCTTGCTTTCTGTAAAGACGGTGTGATCCCATAGAATTTTGATGTCTTCTATTTATGTAACCGATGCTGATTGATGTTCATACCAGTTTTAACATCTTTTCCAAAGTGTTTGCACATTGTCCAGTATAAGTATTATCCCCACCCCCACCCTCTATCGTGACGATGTCTATATTCATTTGGCGCAAGTACAAAACATACTGCGATTAGGTAGTCTATGGTTTCCTGATATTTATTACTATTATAACTACTATTATTATTATTAGTAGTAGTAGTAGTAGTATTTTTATTTTCTTTGATTTCTGGCGTTTACACATTTCTTTCCGGGTCCCGCCCTGGGACCTTAGGTTAGAAATGGCGTCATGACACTTTCCACTGACAAACAAACAAACAAACAAACAAACAAAAGAATTAAATTACATAGATAAAGCCCTTCGTAAAGTGTGGACTGTATTTGTCAGAACAATTTTTTGTATCTCCTTGAGGCATGGACTTCCGGGAATCCCTTCAATTTGTCTACTGCAATCTTTTCCAACCAATCCTAGGGCTCCAACTACAACAGGGATTGTTGATGTTCCCATATGCCACATTTTCGAGATTTCTATTTCAAGGTCCTTGTACTTTGACAACTTTTTGAATATCTTCAAAGATACATTGCAGTCAGCAGGGACTGCCATATCAATAAGGAGGAATCGTTTTTGTTTGTGGTCTTTAATGACAATATCTGGCCGGTTGGCCTTGATTGTTCTGTCAGTGTGTATTGTGTAGTCCCATAGAATTGTAACAGGTCCTATCTCCGTAACCGGGTCTGGGTGGTGTTCATACCAGTTTCTTTCAGTTTCCTTCCCATAGAAGTTGCAGATTTTCCAGTGCAGATATTGGCTCACTCTGTCATGTCGGGTTTTATATTCAGTGGGTGCCAACACCGTACAACCTGATACAAGATGATCAATCGTTTCTGGATATTTATTACAGAATCTGCATTTTGGGCTGACACAATATTTTAGTATATGTGCTTGATAATTCCTAGTTAGCAAGCATTGGTCCTGCGCAGCAAGGATAAAACCTTCAGTTTCCACTTTTAACCCTGCACCAGTTCCCTAATCTTTGTGACAAAATCTAAATCTATTAAGGGTGTTTCTGTAATTCTACCTTTCTTAAGTTACTTTTGCACATTTATCTAATCCGAAGTCCATACCTATGTCGTCACTGAAGTATTTTACAATATTGAGGAGGCCTTTCAACTCATTGTCGTCTTTGGCAAAGAGTTTGAGATCATCCATGTAGAGTAGGTGATTGAATATTTTCTTATTTATTTTGTAACCATAGCTACTGTTGTTCAGTTCATGTGTAAGAGGGATTAAGGATAAACAAAACAGAAGGGGTGACAGAGAGTCTCCTTGAAAGATTCCAGGTTGGATATTCAGACGGTTGGATATGGCAGTGCCCCCGGTGTGATTAAGGTATAGTTTGGTGTTCCACATTCCCATGCTGTGCCTAAGGAAATTTAACACCACAGGGGAGACTTTGTACATTTCCAAAGTCTTAAGGATCCAAGAATGTGGAACACTCTCAAAGGCTTTACGATAATCAATCCACGCTGCACTTAGATTCCTTCCTCGTCTCCTACAATTTTCCAGGATCATTTTATTTATCAGAAGTTGATCTTTGCAGCCATATGAACTTCTTCTGCATCCCTTCTGTTCCAGCGGGAGAATGCTGTTTGTTTCGAGAAAGGAATAAGTGCGGTTCGTCAGTACAGACGTGATCAACTTATACGTTGTGGAGAGACATGTTATCGGTCTATAATTTTTCGGGTCGTCTGTTTCAGTTGTTTTTGGTATGAGGGATGTCATACCTTCAGTAATCCATTCCGGGATTTTATTGTGATTATTTATAAGCGTTGATAATGTTTTTGCAAGAATTCCATGGGTAGATGTGAGATGATACAGCCAGAAATGGGGCAACTTGTCATTTCCTGGGGATTTCCATTTTTGGGATTTCGTTAGAGCTTGCCTAACATCACCTGTGGATATATTTTCCAATTCTTGCAGAGGTGAATCCGGCATTCGTTCTTCTTCACGCCGTATCCATTCTGCATTTGGGTTATACTCCTTTGGGCTGCTCCAGATATTTTCCCAAAATGTCTGTACATTATCAATCGATGGTGGCCTTTCGACATGTGTAGGTGTTTTTCCAATTTCCCTGTAAAATTTCTTACGATCTGTTCGGAATATTTTATTTTGGCGACAGAACCTACAACGTTTTTCGTATCGTCTTGTTCTCTGCGCCTTTAGCTGAAGTTTCTGCTTCAGCATTTCCTTGATAGATGGAATATCAATTAGGGATTTAATGTTATATTTCCGCTTGATCTTTTTGCATTTACGTGTGGAAATATTAGGGTTTCTGGTGAGCTCATCTAATATAGAAAGCTCACATCTGATTTGTTTTATTTCTCGAATCAGTTTGGTTTTCCAGGCTGGTTCTCTGTGTCTGTTAATTTTATTTATTGTCTTGACTCCAAGCTTCCGAGTCGCTGCTAAAGCTGTTGCGTATATGACGTTGTTAACTTCTGTGATGTTCCCGGTGGTTTATCTGTTAACAGGATTTCCAGAGCAGCATTGTATATTTTCACGATGTGCTTGTTGGAATTCGTCATATGGATTTTCGGGAGCTGGTCTCTGTCTGACAATTGTATGAAAGTTACTCTGTTGAGTACTTGGATGACGTCATGTTTCGCTTCGGTGATTTCAGCTTCGTGGTTTTCAAGGAATTCTAACTTATTGCCACTGAGGATGACTCCAGGTACAGTTTCTGGAGGACTGTAGGTTGTGTTTAAGGTAGAGTCTTGGGTTTCATTTCCTGGGAGATTATTTCGTATTTCATTCGCTTTAGCGTCCACCTCATCCTCTGTTGCATTCCTTATTTCTACATTCGTCTCAATAGAGTTTGAGTGATGGGTCATAGTATTTTTGTCTTATATCTAATTTTTATCTTATCTATTTCTGCCTTTGAGAGTTTGTTGTTTCGCATGATGTCCCTACGGACATTGGCAATAGCAATGTTTGTTTGGATTGATGTTAGGTCTTATATCATTTCCCACCGTACTTCTCCATATTTGGTATGTTTGATTGGTGGTGTTCTTTGCTGGGTTTTCGAGTGCAGTGAAGAAGGATGTCATGACTTGTCGATACTCTTCGCGGCTCCATTTCGTTCGTTTACTTTTTATTAGTCGATTTGGTATTGAGTCACTTGGTCCAAGGTTGGCAATAATCCGGTTTTGGTGACCAAGTGTCTCTTCGTGTGTGGAAGAGTTTGTTCCAGTGGCAGACTTTTCGTCCTCAGACTGGTTCCTCTTGTTGTCCCGGTTGACGGCCGATCCGGTATGAAGTATTATTGGTAGAGATGCGTTTAACCTTGACTGCCAAGGGGTAATTATGTTCAAGTTACCAGCTATAGGGCGAGTCTCGAAGAAGATCCGAGAGCACGCGCAAACAATGAGGATTTATTAATATAACGAAGGTAGAATAGTTCATAAGAGTGTATGGTATTCAGTGGGATAGACTATACTAAGTTTTAACTTAGTATAAGTCGGAGTGACCACTCCAAGGGGGATAAATTGATTTTAGTATATAGACATGTAGAAATAAAAAAGAAAAAATACAATATGATCCCTGTCAATGCGGATACATACACATGTAAATTATATATATATATATATATATATATATATATATACATACAAGGGAGAGAGAGAGAGACACACAGATGTTAGTAAACATGTACACATATACGCAACGACAGAGATATGGGATGCCTAAAGTAAGAGAAAAAATAAAAGTAAATAAATCAATAAATAAAAGTGAAAAATGGACACGGATGCCCGCTTAAGGTCGGGTGGGGGGATTGAAATATAAGTTAAAAAAAAAAGGAAAAAGAAAAGGGAACTGAAATGGAAAGAATTAACTTGAGTCAAAAGAATGTACAATCATAGCAAACTACACGAAAAGTATCATTAAAAAATACTACATTTACCATTTCTTACAATTTCGGAACATGGCCAAAGTGACTTTCCACAAATGTTCAATTTTCCGTCGCCAACGACAGATACTTATCAAATTTTATGGGGTAGGCTGGACTTATACTACAGAGTTGTAGGCCGGGGCGTGGGGGGGGGTTGATATCAAAGAATTCATTAAACAAAGGAGTAGAAGCAGAGCAGTAAAAGTTATACTTTTCCGGTCATCTCTCAACCTACTAGCCGCTAAAAGATATATTTTTAAATTTTCACGCAAAGACATGATAGTCGACG